TTGATGGATATATATCAAGCAATTTTCGTGAATCTATTGATAACTACTAAAACCGTATCGTAGATGTTCTTGCCTAATTTCGATAGAGATAGATTTGTAATAAAATCTATAGTTATCTCTTTTCAAGATCCACAGGGTATAAGAAAGATTTGCAATTCGCCATAGGGTTTATGTCTTTTAACAGCGGTCCGCTGGTATATCGCATATATTTTAATATACGTTTTCACATCTTTTTTTTATTAAAAACCAGAAATATTTAGATCTCAAGATTTCTAGAGTTTTAGAAATACCCCAATATCCACCCATAGGATTATTGTAATGGGCTTTCAGAATCTCTGCTCTCAAAGCAAAAATCTGGCAATATATAAACATTCTCATTATATCTAAAAAGCCTATTAGCGCTTACCTGCCAAGGTGAGGTAACTCTAGCAAAGCATAATCTTTGATTTAGATATTCTTTATTCTTTATAAAATCATTATTCGCTTGAAGCCGCAATAAAGCATTTCTTATCGTCTCTAATACTGGCTTAAATGCTATTTTGTCTTCTACTAAAACACAAGCTATTTGATATAATATTAACTATTTATAATCAGCTTCAACTAATGAACTCGATTATCCACGGAATAGTAGGTCACACTCTTCTCTTTGTAAAAAGCCTATAACGTTACACAGAGGCTCCGTCTTCTTGACAGGAAAACTTTAAAACAATTTCATAATTATCGACCTATTCCTTAGTTTATTCTGAAGGATCGGAAGCATATCATTAATACCCTTCATATCAATAGTGTAATCGGGGCAGTGCAACAGCCTATCTGCAGAATTCAATTTTCCCGCCCTATATACTATCTCGAAATTGTATGTGGCCAAAACCTCTGCCTACCTTGCTTATCGATTATTCAGGCTTTTCTTTGTCATAAAGTGCTAAAGGCTATTGTGATCCGACTTTAATTACGACAGTATGTCGACTCCCTATCGTATAGTGACGCTACTATACAAAAACGGTATATATCGCTAATAATTCTTGATCATAAGTGAAATATCACTGTTCCACTGGGTTTAGCTTCCTCGAATAGAACACAATAAGATACCATTATTGGATCGATGCATCTTTAATCCCTTTCGAGAAAAGCTATAACAATACGCAATTTAATGTAAAGATCAAAGCATCGGTTTTAATCATCATACGGAGTAAGGGGTCGAAATGCCGGAGAATAGGTGCTGATATGAAAGCTTTCTTCAATACTTCGAACACCTTTTATACTTCATCAGTTCATTTGAACTCGACCACCGTTTTCCCTTTCTGCATTCCTTTCATCAACGCGGTCATACCGTAGGCCATTGCCGAATAGGCCCTAATGAATTGTCGATAAAAGTTCGCGAAGTTAAGGAACACTTGTACATCCCTCAGGCTACTAGGTGTTAGCTATTCCATAATAGTTTGAATATTGCCTGGATTCCATTGTAACCTTCTCAGCTGAGACAACGAATCCTAGGAATTCGACTTCGTTGATATAGAAGACATATTTCTTTAATTTTGCAAAAAGCTTATACTCAATGAGATATGCGAGTACCTGTTGGATATCTGCTGTATATATAGTTCTATCTTTGGAATAGATTAGAATGTTGTTGAGATACACTACATATATATTATCCGTTAACCCTGCTAGTGCTTGATTAATATATATCTGAAATATTGCAGGGGTATTAGTAAGATCGAAAGGCATCACCTTATACTCATACTGGTCGTATCGCGTGCGAAACGCCGTCTTCCACTTGTTGCCCACTTTTATACAAATACGATGGTATACATTTCTCAGATCTAATTTAGTGAATATAGCACCTTGTCAAAGTTGGTCTAGAGATTTACTAATAAAGGATAAGGGAATTCGATCCTTTTTTGTAATCCGATTAAGCCTTGATAATCGATATATAATCGATAGCCTCCCTTTTTCTTTAAAACAAATATAATAGAAGCTCCTACCAAACTGATAGATCTTCTTATTATTCTTTCTTTTAATACTCATCTAATAATCTTATAGTATTACTGACTTTTTCTCTGATAAGGAATAGATTAAGCCCTATAGGGGGGTTGAATCAGGCTTAAGATCAATGTAATACTCCATAAGATGATATTCAGGCAAAAGGCTACTTTCTTCTTTAGAGAAAGCTTTTTTGTATCTTAGAATTCCTCTAATATCTTATATGAGGTTAATGTGAGTACCAAACAGCCCCCTTTTATCTTTAAACACAATGCTATCTTATCCAAAAAGATTGCGAAGATCACTTTGTTTTCTTTCATTTCCCAATAAAATTCTTTACAGAAATGATTTCAAGCTCGTTCAAGATACGGTGATATTGAAGTAATATCGACTTTTAATCAATATCGGGATTGATTATTTATAACCATGGAAGACCTAGAATAGTATCTATCCATAATAGGTCCAGTATTGCTAATATGAAATTATAGATATAGATTCTCCTTTCCCCTTTTTCATCTTTTATTTCGATGGGGAATTTGTAATCCCTATATAATGCAATTACGGGTATTATTCACTAACACAAGAGAAATACTTTTCTTAATAGGAATCCAGTTCCACTTAATACACTTGCTTTACTGTATAATATTGGCTTGTGCTCCCGAGTCGATGAGACATTGAAGTGTTATTGGTTTGCTGTTGTTATTAAAGATCACTGTGATTGTAAAGATTGTCCACTTTTCTTTGTATAAACCCAGCATCAATGGAACACTCATTATAATTACTGGATCTAAGCGTTTCCCATACAGATAGTTTTAGGTGGATTACTTTGATAATCGGATTCTTTATGCCTCCCTCCATAATGTCTGCATATAACATTGTTTGGACAGGTCATAGCGTAGTGCCCCTTTTATTGGCATTTATGACATATAGCGTTCCGAATGCGATCCGTATACGGTACCTCAATGGGATATTTCAGAACCTTAGGGGGTTCCTCTAAGAGGGTTGATTGGATTCTTGGGCCTCTGGTTAGCAGTTAGGGTTAGGTTGTTTTTTAGGTGGAAGCGTTTAAAAAGGTTTCGATATCGAGAGGGTAATTGGTTGTATTTGCGGGATCGCTGTGGCTCCTCTATATCTTTTCCTCGAAACAATTTCTCCACACTTTCCAATCTACAGGCTTGTTTTATAAGCTTACTGCGCGATTCAGGTTATTGTGGGGATTCCGAGATTTTTCTGGTTATATTGGGTAATAGATTCGCTTAAAAGCCTCTCGACCCGAATACTCTTTGTTTCCTGCTTGATGTCTTCTTTAAGGCCTTTAGGTAGGTTATAAATGCATTCATAGTTTCTTCTTTCCTTTACCTCACATACACAATCTTTTGGATTGTTTATCGCTGCCTAATCCCTTTATCCATAATAGTGTTATATATGTACTCCCTGAAGTTTTTTTAGTTTATCTTTTCATAACTTAACTCACTTATATATCAACGCTAAATCGCTAGAGACTATCTTTCGAAGTATTGGATAATATGTTCTATCTTCTTTGTATCGGTGGGGAAATGGTATCCATTATCGCTTCGAAATATAATTTCTGCCTGGAAAAAGAAGTTCTTAGCTTTCTCGATATTCTTTCCTTATATTGTTTTAAATCTCTATAATTTCGGTGGTTTTCCCGAATTGAGGTTGGCAACCTGGTGGGTTGTATTCGGTACGACTGCAGGTCGGTTATGCTCGACCGGGGTGGTTGCATATAAGATACGATTCATAGCCATTCTGTAAGCTTCTCTTATAACTGTTATTTCTTCTTTCATTTCTCGAAGTTGTTGGGTCAACAATGTATTCTCGTTGTTACTAGGGGGGTGTAATGGAACCGAATGGGCGTCGCTATCGATATCCTATAGAAATTGATCAACAATTTCACCGGATTGGTCTTGAGTCGCACTACGGGCATCCCGCTCTCCCCTTGGGACAGGTGTTCTTCTTGTTGAAACCATAATGGTACCGATGGTTACTCGACTAAGAAATAGTTGACAGATTACTCTATATATAGAATGAAAAGAATTGTTAGAGTAGATAATAGTAATGAATCAACTAGGTGTAATGTAGCACAAGACTTTTCATTAATTTCTCTAAACTATGAAAATTCTACAATTTATAATTATGCGCGGGTTGGCGTCGGCCCGGGGTAGGCCCGCAGGGCTACTCACGTGTCCTCGCCAGCCCTTACGCGGATTGACCGTGACAACCATTGCGGAATCCGCGATAACATAAAGTACAGATTATTTCAACAGATTCAGCACGGATTTTACATCCAAACTAGCCCTTAATGCCGCAACCGAAATGGCAAAAGCGATCAGAATTCTGCTCGACAGTTGTTACGTAAGCGGACACAATAGGAGTTGTAAGCTTTACCACTACGCCACACACGCAATCTGTCCAAAAGGCATAGTATCAGGGATTGTTTCCTGATAGCTTACTATTATATATATATCCATATAACAGAGCCCTCCTCTTTAACCTTTTTCGTCCCGAAAAGGCTAGTACAGGGGCTATCATACTATACTATAGTCAATTATATGATTTGTAATAATAGAATAACACTTTTCTATTATCTAATACCCTCATTATTAATAATCCATTATTAATGAATTCAGAATGTCCAATTATTAAGCAGATACATCCTCGTCCCTAATTCGATCTGCTTTTCAATTGGTTGTTCACCTAGTCCCAATTAAAAGCCCGAAATCAGAGATCCCAGAACGATATCCACAAGGTAAAATCCCTGATATTCTGTTACGTAAGCGGACACAATAGGAGTTGTAAGCTTTACCACTACGCTATACACGCAATCTGTTCAAAAGGCACAGTATCAGGGATTGTTTCCTGATAGCTTACTACTATATATATATCCATATAACAACAGTACTACCGTCCAGGTACTATGGAAATTCAACAAACGCCACCCATTCACCGATGAATTCCTCGATATAATCTCTCCGGATCTCGAATCAGGACGTATAAGGATGTCCAAATGGATAAAAGTTGATCCGGCGATATTGTTAGAGACAGGAAATATCATCGCTTCCGTCCATCATGGAGGAGCAAATTGTTTCTATGAAGCTATTGGGACGGGAATTCCTCAAGTCGTATTACCCATGTGGGTCGATCTCTATGATTATGCAGTAAAGGCTGAGTACCTGGGTGTGGGGGTTTGGGGTAGTAGGAAGGCGGCTCCTTATGTAAGAGTCCTCTTTCAAGCCATTCATGTTCAGCGGTTGCTAACATCAGAGCAGTGGAAAGCGGACGAATTAAGCACTGCATTTTTGCAAGTCGTAGGGGATAGCGAAGAGGCAATTTCGATGCGCAAAAAAGCAAGGGAATTAAGTTTACCATACAAAGCAAAGCCAGGTCGCATAACCGCGGCTCACGAACTGGCAAAATTAGCACGATCCCCAGGCTCGTCACTGTGATTTAGAATCCGAGAGTTGTATCCATGACCAATCGTATCGTATACCAATAAGTTATGAATATGATTTTTTTTTATGAATTTCACTTCCTTCAAATAAGTTGAAATAACCTTGGAAATATCAGTCTAGACACTTCCTAAATATAGTGGCGCAGATCGCCTTGGTTCCTGTCGCTCCCGCCACCTCCGCTTCCCCGCTAAGACATTGCATCGTCATAGAAGCTAGGGATATCCCTTGGCAAATAGCTACCTACATAATAAGGATGGATGCCTAGGTACCCTTTTCCTTTCTTATATTCTTATATTAGTTAAACATTTATTTTCAAGATTCGATCAATCAATCCAATTCAATCCAATCCTTCAATCAAACATCAACAATAACCAAAAAAAATGTATCTCCCAAATGCCCAAAGTATTTTGACCGCAGGTCTCGCTATGACCGGCACCCTCACTAAACGTATGTTTTCCCCTCCCTCTCCCTCTCCCTCTCCCTCCCCAAACCCTCCTAACCCCCCTCAGCAAAGAAGTAGCCTCCGGACACGTCCTCGACTTCGCGGTCGAAAGCTGTCTCGACAGCGACCACAACCGACGCTGCACCGCGCCCTTCCTCGTGACGGGCGATTCCTGCTACAAAATCGAATGGAGCACCGACGGAGTACTTTCTCACACCACTGTCGAAGTACGCGATGCCGGGAGCGACGAGATTGTGTATTATCGCGATACGAATGGCGAGTGGGAGAGTAAGAAGGGAGAATTGGTTTATCTGGATTTCAAACCAAAGGTGCCGGGACAGGGAAATAATACGGTGGATTGGAGTGTTAGTACTTGTAAATAGGCTTGGGGCGGGATGTTTATGGGTGGGTAAATAGGTTGGGGGATTGGTGTATTAGGTGGTATTGGTGTGTAATGGGGCGGGTGTAATGTACGATATTTAATGTAAAGTTGATGTATTCCTATTGCTGTGATATTCTATGACATGAGATCAAAGATTCCTTGGTTTGTATTTTCTCGATCAAAATCTTGTGGTAATTCCAGTATAGATCCATGGATACAATCAAGCCCATTCCGAAGTACACGGCTCTTAGATGCTCTTGCCATAACATCGTCCGAACAATTAAGGCAAACTAAGGAAGAGCTCCAACAACTTTGGATAATTAGGCGTTCCAAGCCCAGTAACAGGATCCCATCTACAGCACACCGTTAAATCAGCAAGCTCCTCGTCAATTAGCACCGAAAGAATAGTAAGAAAAAAACATACCCAGACACAGCACTAAACCCAGCAGTACCACAGTTAGGATTACTTCCATTGGTGATATCATTCAACACATGAGGATTTGCATAAAGGACTGGATTAATAAACCCTACAGTGGACTTTCCGACAGCGAGTCGTTCCTCGTTGATCTGCGATTCGTAAGTATATGCAAGTTGAGCGAAAGGATAGAAAAAGAGAAATCCTCATACCAGGTTAATGACGGAAGAGAAAATGGGTGTGCCTAGAAGTCTTTAGCAAGAATCAAAGAAGATGTTGCAACGAAGAAGACGTACTCGCACTAGTACCCCCATTCAAAGTGAAGTTTCCTCCGAGGAATGTAGCAATGTTATCTCCATTTGCAGAAACGTCTGGAATACCTCTTCCAGCACGATTGTATACTCCGCCATTAGCCCCTACACTAATATTGCTACTGGCAGTGGCTTCATAGTATGGATAAGAAGGGTTATGATTCTTGAAATATCTGTGACGGCCGGTCAGAATAGAGTTTTATTATCATGAAGGGCGAAATTACGATGCTACAGCCTCTTTTTGGTACGAGGGGATTCCATATACATTACTAAATCCTCCCCCAGAAGAGTATGCATTTCTGTATGGTTGGCCTTTGAGATCGTTGGCGGCACTTTCAGGCTCGAAAACTGTATGACCTGGGTAAACTTTCGTGGCACCAACTGCTGTCACGTATGGGCAACTATCAAGTGTTAGCTTTGAATTATATGCTGATTGTTGAAAGAATTCCGAATGTGAACAACTGAAGATACGTACTTGACTGGAAATTGAGGGTTGAAAATTGTTGAATTCGAACCCAAACATCCGCTTTCTGAAGCATCACCAGGAACTCCACCAACACCATAGTCTCCTGAAGAATATAGAAATGTATGTCCCTGAAGTCCTAGTTTCATGTACCTATCTTCATGTAAGTATTTCATCACTCTATATATGGTAGACCTACATACTCATTGCATTGTCTTCTCTGATAGTATTCAGGGAGGTCTATTTCTGCTTCACCGTAGGATGTTGAGATTACATTTGTGGGCTTGTAGACACCACACATTAGTTTTCCTTTGTATCCATCAACGGCGGAATCCGGATAGATAGGGTCAAGAACAGGGTCATTGCCAGTTTCTCCGTAAGCTGAGTATGTGCAGTATGACTGAAAAGATCGTCAGTAACACATCTTGAAGTTGAGGAATAAGTAAACATACTCCATCAATAGCATCGAGAAAGACATTGAATGCGCCCACAGTGGGGTTCTCGGTGGAGTAGTTAATATCATCTGTTTGATAAAGTACCAGTTTTTGAGGATATAATAGAGGATATGCCAATTCAAAATCTAAAGAACTCTCTCCACCTCCTTCCTCGACAGAGACTGGAGCCGCGGCACCATCCACAAAATTGGGGATTGGATGTGTACCCTTGGGAATATATGGAGTGTAATTGGCAAAGAACAAATCCAAGTCTTCTTGATCATAGAAGTCTCCTTCTTCCCAGATACCCATTGCATTGTTGGGATTCGCTTTGCTGGCAAGAGGTATACGATAGAGGGCTCTGATACATTCTGGGGTGATAACCTCATCACAAGTCGCCAATGAACTCGAGTTGTGATGTGAATAGCCTCCGGATGAACTTTTTGGTCGTCGTAAGGGTTGATGGTCTTTACCTTTACTTCCACCAAGAATGCTTCGTTTTGAGGCTGATTTCTTCTTCGTGGAGATTAATTTAACACCGGGAGTAATGTAATCCACGTGTGGTTGAACATGAGCTGGAAGGTGGTATCTATGGGATTCTGTTTAGCAGATTTCGCAAGCAAGTTTCAATGCTGATTGCTGTTGTATATGAATCAATGAAAATGGTGTCTCACTCATCACATGCAGCAGCTATTTCATCAGTTGAAAAATGCAAATATGTGTAGTACTGAGTATTGAGTAAATTCTCCAGTTCGCTCGTCGTCGCATCGAATGCATACCATCCCTTTGTATCGGAGTGAACAATTCGACTGGCCGCAATTCCTGAGTCGACTAGCCAATTTCGCACAGTATTGATTGTCTCCTCTGAAGGGGCAAACATTTCATGTACCTGCTCGGCTGTCCAATGTTTCCCATAATTTGAGGATTTTGGATGCGAACTTTCAAGTAATCAGCATAATGGAGTGACGAAAGATGTACTCCTCATATCCATTTCATCGTGGATTACTTACACATCCATAAGGAAATCATGTCCCTTCTCGAGGTTACTCTGGGATAGACCAATACGCACAGGAAGTAGAGTCGTGCTCGCAATCCGGTCACGTTTCATCCATTGTGTATGGGGTGTATTTCGCTTCTCATGGGAAACGAATGATGAACGAGTGGAAAGGATATCAGAGTTCGGAAGAACAGCAGCGATAATTCCAGGAACGGATAATACAATTGAGGCAAAATGATGGAAATGCATTTTGATTGAACGAACGAACAAACGAGCTTGGCAAATATCAGGGGCAATACCTACAGACAAAAGCTTATGTACTTTTTGAAGCTCTTGTGAAGATACGAGGGGCATTGCCCAAACGATGGACAGGTACTACGAACCCTGCAACACTTGTTGTCAATCCGGAAGGTAACTTGATATAATCAATGCTGGTACCATGCAGTACTTATGTATCCTTCTGAATTGGGAAGTTGTCTCAAGTTCCTGACCATCTTGCATCATTGAATCAAACTTTGATTAAGCAGATTCAAAATTTCATTCGCTCCTACACGCTATCAATAGATAACGGTATTTTCGTGGTAAGTACCAAAAGATTGTTCGAGATTCAGTAGATCATCACCTGGATGAAAGAAACTCGTGTTATCGGCGCCCTTCAACTGCAATTCCGAGGGTCAAAAGGTTGTGTTCACCTGTCGGTCAATACCCATTTGAAATGGCTGTGGATATTGACTATATCCCATCCATGCTTGACTGTCGCTCACCGCGGTGACTTGGGTTTTTTCGATGTTTCAATAGCAAGAACATGGTACCTGATTTTTGAAGATGGGTTGAAAACGTTTGCGACGACAAAATAGTCAACGTTGATGAAGCTCAGCAATTAAATGTAAACGGCGATGGCGAGGTCTTCTCGTCATCGTTAAAACGAGTGAGTGATGATGATTAAGCCCCACCATGATGCAATCAAGGTGATGTAAGGGTACGGTGTACCTCAATTACTCCCAGCGCAGAATTACATCAAATTCCCCACCATAGCAAAATAGTACTCAGTGAGTAAACATTGGGAAAATAAAAATACTATTATCGCCACAACGACGAGATGAAGCAAAGATTTTCTTCTATCGACGTGAAGGTAAGTCAAATAAAGCTTTAACGGGCCTTCTTCGCTTTGTGGTACCTTCTAACTTTCTCAGGTCATCGCCCATGAACTTTCCAATGCATTGGTTACTTTGCGCGTTTCCAATATCTACGACTTGTCGTCGAAGATTTTCTTGATAAAATTTGCGAAACCAGATAACAAACAGCAGATTCTCATAGATTCTGGCTTTCGATGTCATCTCACCGATTTCTCTCGAGCGACTGCAGCTGCTCCTAGTGTATTTGTGCAAAGATTAAGGAAATACCTAAAGACAAGACGAGTAACCCAGGTCTCTCAAATTGGAACAGATCGCATAATCGAATTTCAATTCAGCGATGGACAATACAGGTTATATTTGGAGTTCTATGCGGGAGGCAATATCATTCTCACGGATAAGGACTTGAACATCCTAACCTTACTTCGAGTGGTCGACCCGGGAGAGGCTCAAGAGGAATTACGAGTTGGACTTAAGTACTCTTTGGACAATCGCCAGAATTATGGAGGAATACCTGATTTGACGAAAGAACGACTTCAAGAAGCTTTACAAAAAGGGGTGGATAAGGGAGAGGATAATTCTGGAAAGAAGAAGAAGAAGCCTGGAGATGCATTACGAAAGGCATTGGCTGTGTCCATCACAGAATTTCCACCAATGCTAGTGGACCATGCAATGCGTATCACAAATTTCAATTCCTCTTTAAAACCGGCCGAAGTTTTGCAGAGTGAAGATCTCTTGGATCATTTGATGAAATCACTTCAAGAAGCTCATCGAGTTGTTCAAGAGATAACTAGTTCCGAAACTGCAAAAGGCTACATTGTAGCGAAGAAGAAGGACCCTCAGACTCCATCAGATGAAAATCAGACAGACACTCGAAAAGGTTTACTTTATGATGATTTTCATCCATTCAAACCAAAGCAATTCCAGGATGATCCTTCATTGGTCTTTTTAGAGTTTGAGGGTTTCAACAAAACTGTTGATGAGTTCTTCTCCTCAATTGAGGGACAAAAACTCGAATCAAAGCTCGAAGAGAGAGAAAAGCTAGCCCAAAAGAAAATCCAGGCGGCACGAAATGAACAGGCCAAACGTTTAGGCGGATTACAAGAAATACAGGCACTGAATGAACGTAAAGCCGGTGCTTTACAAGCTAATGTTGAGCGGGTTCAAGAAGCAACAGATGCTGTTAATGGCTTGATCGCGCAAGGCATGGATTGGTTTGAAATTGGGCGTCTAATCGAAAGGGAACAAAAGTTCAATAACCCGGTAGCTTCAATGATTAAACTGCCCTTAAAATTGGAAGAAAACACAGTAACAATTTTATTGGATGAAGAGGCGTTTGACGAAGAAGAAGATTCTACTTACGAGACTGATAGTGATGTCTCCGAAAGTGAAGATGAGGACAATACCGCTAAGACCAATAAGAAGAAGGAGAAGGTTGCGGACACCCGGATCCCTATTGATATTGATCTAGCATTGTCCCCGTGGGCCAATGCGCGCAATTATTTCGATCAAAAACGTTCAGCAGCATCAAAAGAGGACAAAACCCTGCAATCATCTTCGAAAGCGTTGAAGAGTACTGAAGCGAAGATAGCTCAAGATCTAAAGAAGGGGTTGAAGCAAGAGAAGGCCATCTTACGACCTGTTCGAAAACAGATGTGGTTTGAGAAATTCATTTGGTTTATATCTAGTGATGGATATCTAGTACTGGCAGGAAAGGATGCACAACAAAGTGAAATTCTTTATAAGAGATATCTCAAGAAAGGGGATATATATTTGCATGCAGATATACGAGGTGCAGCATCCGTCATTGTTAGAAACAATCCAAAAACACCGGATGCCCCAATTCCTCCACAAACTCTAAGCCAAGCTGGAACCTTGGTAGTTGTTACGTCAAGTGCCTGGGATTCTAAAGCTGGTATGTCTGCTTGGTGGGTAACTGCAGATCAAGTATCAAAATCTGCTCCTACTGGCGAATTTCTTCCCGCTGGTAGTTTCAATACCCATGGGAAGAAGAATTTCTTACCTCCTGCTCAGCTACTCCTTGGTTTTGGAGTTCTTTTCCAAATCAGTGATGAGAGTAAAGCTAGACATGTCAAGCATAGACTTCAAGATGATTCGCCATCGGGTGGCACAACCACAGATGCTCCTCCGGCAGGTGATTCACTTCTTGGCGATGAAAGGTTCCGGGCGACGAATTAAATCAATCTGATGAAGATGAGCCAAGTCCCGCCAAAGAAGTTGAGGTTAATCATCAAGATGTGGATGATTCGGAAGATGAAGATGCCGATTCGAAGCCTAACCCTCTACAGGGTGAAGTAGAACCATCTGATGAAGTCGCCACACAAGAGAAACTTGAGAATCTTCAAATCGACGATAAGAAGCCCCAGCCATCGGAATCTGAAGCACAAGTGGAGGAATCAGGCGAAGATTCGGTCGAGGAGTCACAATCACAGTCTATCTCCACTGGTAAAAAAGCAACACCCGTTCAAAACCCACCCAAAAAGGGTCCTGCACCAGCTAAGCGAGGCAAAAAAGGAAAGGCCAAGAAAATTGCACAGAAATACAAAGACCAAGATGAAGAAGATCGTATCGCTGCTCAAGAAATTATTGGAGCTGCAGCCGGTCAAGAAAAAGCGGAAGCGGAAGCGAAAGCGAAAGCGGCTCGAGAAGCGGAATTGGCATTCCAAAAAGAACGTCGACGAGCTCAACATCAACGTACGCAAAAGGAAACAGCCGAGCATGAAGAGATGCGAAAATTGATGCTTGAAGATGGTATCGATACTCATGAAGATAATGAGATTGAAACCATGACATCGCTCGATTCTTTCGTCGGTCTTCCGTTACCGGGCGATGAAATCCTCGAGGCGATACCGGTTTGTGCGCCATGGGCTGCGATGGGAAAATATAAATATAAAGCCAAGATTCAACCGGGCGCGCAGAAGAAAGGTAAAGCGGTGAGAGAAATTCTGGGGAAGTGGATGGCGGCGAGTACGGCGAAGGGTGTCCTCGATGAATCGAGTATGGATGTGGAAAAAATCTGGCCGAGAGAAATGGATTGATCAGGGGTGGAAACCGGAGGAAACGACGAATGTTGTGCCGGTGGGGGAAGGTGAGGGTTATGATGGGAGGGGGCTCCGCGGCCGCAAAGGCAAAGGGGGATAAGGGGAAGAGTAGTGGGGGGAGAGGCGGGAGGGGAAGTAAGAAGAAGTAGGGTGGTGTAGATACCTGTGTAAGGAAGTGTATTATGAACACTCTCTCTTTTGTATTCTTCTTCTCTAAATCTCCGAGTTCATTCATCGGGAACAGATTGAGAAAAAGGAAGAAGAGTGGTGCTGGATTTCATAAGTAGAGTTAAAGTAGTAGATTATAGTAAATATACCTACCTACCTACCTACCTGTAACCTCCCTTTAAAGAATTTACAAAGCCTCTTCTTATTCACTTTCTCATTTACTCACCCACTTAATTACTCACCCACTTACTCGCTCATCTACTCAAAAGCTATATTCCCATTCCCATTCCCCGTTTCTATTCTCAGTTCTATTCTCATTTATAATAAACTTCAAATTCGAATCTGATAGGGAGATGAAGATTTCTTAACCCGAGTTATCCCAGCTCTCCCATCGCCGGCTAGGAGGGCGTGATGGGCGAGCGGGGGAGCGGCGAGGGCTCCAGCGGCCCACAGCTGGCCTACGGGCAGCGGCGGAGGTGGCGAGCGGGCGAGGGGCCGAGCTTCCAGCAGAGGCTTCCCGGCGGCCCAGCGGGGCCCCGCGGCTCCCATCACGGGCGAGGTCCCAGCGGCCACCCGCCGCCTCCTCTCCTCTCTCCTCCTCTCCTCCTCTCCTCCTCCCTCCTCTCCTCCTCCCTCCTCTCCTCCTCTCCTCCCTCCTCCGCTCCTCCTCTCCTCCTCTCCTCCTCTCCTCCTCCTACTCCTCCTTATCAATCACTTCATCAATAATCCCATTTTATTATATTATACCACATTACTCTATACCCCAATCAATCACCTCACATACACAATATACACAATATACACAATATACACAATATACACAATATACACAATATACACAATATACACAATATACACAATATACACAATATACACAATATACACAATATACACAATATATACAATATAATACAATTCACCAGCACCACTCAAACAATACAATATCATTCACCACCATCCATCCACCACCATCATCCACCACCATCACCCATCACCCACTCAAACAAACAAACAACTAAACATCCAATACCCATCTAACTTCTAAAAAATCCATCCATCCATCCATTCATCAATCAATTAATCAATTAATCCAGCCAGAGAGTTGAATTTAAGAGTAAAGTAAAAGCAAAAATAAATACAACTACCAACACAAAAGAACCTTATAGAATAGAAATACAAATACAAGTACAAACACAAATATAAAAGAATAGAATAGCTATATCATAACATCTCATATCATATCATATTATATCATATTATATCATATTATATCATATTATATCATATTATATCATATTATATCATATTATATCATATTATATCATATTATATCATATTATATCATATTATATCATATTATATTATATTATATCATATTATAATCATATTATAGCATTAGTATCATACTATATACCATAGGGATCGAAGCCCACAACGAGCCTATCCACCCGGGAACCGAGCTCTTACCTAAACAACACCCGGATCAGATGTTCCCTTCTGGAAACAGAAGCGATCGCACCACAGAGCAGCGAATAGCCCCTGGCATTGAAGTTAAAATTGCTAAATTCGATCGCAAACAATCATACCGCTCAAATAGTTCCTTATCTTAGTACAATCTAAATACCCTTAGGGAGGTTCAAAACAGATATTAATTAATATAAATAAATAAATAAATAAATATCATACTATATCATATCATATCAAATCAAGCTATCCCAAGTATCGTAGGTCATGAGCTAGTATATGAGTATATAGTATATAAGAGGGAAAAGGACTAATATTAGTCTATTATGGAAGCTGGCTCGTATTAACAAACTAAAGTAGTATGAAAAGCACGTGATTTTCATGAAACAGTATATGATTTCTTTATTTCTTTTTCTTCTATATTCGAGGGGAAAAGGCCTTATTTTATGCTTTTTTTCCTACTAATCAGCTTTCCACTTTCGTTTATTCTCGTAGATCCTCTTCCCTATCCGGCATTCCATCAAAATAAAGCTTTTCTTTCTTATTCCTTATTTCGATATTCGCTAGTCCCTAATAAAGAATTGATTTTCACAGGCCGTTCTGGGCTTAAGAGTCTCTTACTAAGCGACGATCCTGTTGATTTGATCATGTGATCCTGTGATTCGCTCTTAGTATGAACTAGATGAAAATAGAACTAATATATATAAAAAGATTATATTTTATATTTATTTTTATATTAAAAACCCAATCCCCAGCTATACTAGGTATCTAATCTATTTTATTTATTGTATCCACCCCCCCATCTATCTTATCATCATCATCATCATCATCATCATCATAATTACCACCTCCCCCCCAAAAATGCCACGCTCCGTTAATGCACACAAACTCGCACGCTCACGCCCACTTCTCCCATCCTGATGTTGAGCGTCCTCAGATCCAGCCAGCCAGTAGCAAATCCATACATATCCATAGCCATTAAAAAGTATTCCCATCTATATACTACAAGATTCCACTTTCTTACACACATCTCTCTGCTATCATTATTTGAATAAATGATTCCCTCCGTTGCTACATTTTCCTTTCCTTTCCGTTCCGATTCATTCCCATTGCCGTAACCCCCTGAAACCAAAATTCCATTCGTTGAAATCGAAAATTCAAATGTCGTGATAACATACCGCTCTGTGAATGCTGCCAACAATGATCGCTAATGGTGCTTCACTTAAATCACTTCATCATGTCATCATCTCCCAACCTCAACCCTATCTCTCTCGCCAAGTCCACCACTCATCTGTGCATCATCACCAAAAACAGGTCTCTTGTTCGAACCAGGAGGAGCCTGTTCCAACATTCTTGGTCTATCATCTTCATAAGATTCAGAAGTATCCGATTCGCTATAATGTTGACGGCTTCTACCATGATCTTCTCGTTTACGATTACGTCTTTCGCGGGCTTCACGTCTTGCGCGGCGACGCTCACGAGCTGCCTCTTCTTCTCTTTCTTCTCTAGCGGCTACAAAAGTGGTTAGCTATTTGATCATCCTGTCCATTGACTGAGCGAAACATACCTCGAATTTGTTGAGTGGCAGTGGCATAAGCTTGGATTTCTTCGCGGCTCAACACTCTAAGCACAATTACGAAATCATCTCGAGCTTCGAATCGTTCTTTTCCAACCTCTAGAGCGGCAGGATTTACCAATTTTCTGGCAATCTTGGTCCAACGTGCATCAGGAGGGACACCATCCTTCTTGGCATCTTTCAAAGGAGCAACACCCTCACGGATTGGAGAAGGATCCTCGGGAAATTTCTCACGTGGTTGACGTAAAATACCCTTTATGGCAGGCTTCTCAGGCTTCTCTTCAACCTTCTCTCTTGGTGGTGAAACGACACGTGCTTGTTTGTTTTCACCTGTGGTAGGTGCTGATGATTCGCGGCGACCTCGCTCTTCACGGTTAAGTTCAGCTCTCAATTCGGCGACCTCACTCATATCTTTGGTGATAGACTTTCTACCAAGTGGCTTGTTGGATGGTGCTAGTGTAGGTTCCTGAGCAGATTGTTTAGGTGCTAGTACTGGCACAGGCTCTTTATCAGCAGGTGCATCTTGATCGGCCAATGCAGCTTTCAATGCTTTCAAATCCATGGTATCTCTTGGGTTAAATGGTGCAGCCGCGGCTCCAGAAATACGTCTAGGTCTGCGATGACGGTTGGTTGCTTCATCTGACGTGTCTGAAGTATTATCATTGGGGGCACCAGTTGTTGCTGCGTCGCTACGAGGACGATCATCTGGCGAGGATAATCTTTCCTTGGGATTTCGACCACTCAAGTCAACAAAATCGTTATCTGGAGAACGTCTGTCTCTGTCATCTCTAGCAACATCACGTGAAGCTGATGGCACTTCTTCTCGGCTTCTTTCTTTCCTCGAATCAGATACATCATCTTCTTCGCGGCGGCGAGGAGGCAATGGTGGTGTGACTTCACCTCTGTCTCTGTGATGTCTCTCCTTAGGTTCTCTACCGACTGATTCAGTAGAATCTCTCTCGTTGCGATGATTTCTCTCCCTTCTTTCCTTGCGATCTGGTCTATCAGACTCAGAGGAATCCCGGGAGTCAGTGTGACGACGTTCATTTGAAACATCCACCGTCTCTTTGTCGCCACGCTCACGTCTCCTGCGTGAATCGTCCCCATAATCCTTACGTCTTCTTTCATCATCTCTATCATCGCGATCATCAGGCTTCATGGTATTTGCCATAGCTCCAAGGCCAAGAGCGGCAGAGGCTATGCTGAGTCCCGTTGCAAGCTTCTCATGCGTGCTAGACTTTTTCTCGCGTCGATCATCCTCACGTTCATTTCTTGGAGATCTATCGTGTCTATCGGACCTTTCATGTCTCTCGATTCTCTCCGGTCTTTCTGCTCTACTAGCCGGCCTTTCTGTTCTCTCAGGGCGCAATCCAAAGCCACGCTGTTCAACAGAATCATCATATCTCTCCTGTCGATGATGTGGTTTTCGCTCTCGCATTTCTTCCTCCCTTGGGTTATAGTATTCATCTCTAGGGACATGCCTGGTGCTATCTCTATCTTGGTACATAGAAACAGGTCGCCTAGTTGAAGTTCGTCTTTGAGGTCCATCACTCTCATAACCTGCGGGTGGGTCCATACGAACTGGGCGTTGAATTGGTTCAATAGGTGTGACATGGGGAACGGGGATTCTGGCGGAAGCTGGCTGAGGGTCCCATGTTTGGATTCTGTCAAAGCCACGTGTAGATGGGGGTGGACCGCGCTCTCGGGTATCATAAGATCTTGGAGATTGAACAGCTTCACCAAATCCAAGAGGGTTGGTCATGCTAGCACTAGCGGGTCTAGTTCTACT